TATATATATATATATATATATTATAAAAGTTAAATTCAAGTTAGGTTGAAGGGAATATACAGTTTGGCTAAGATGTATTCAAAAATCACACTGAGTCTTGCTTTTTTTCTTGGATGTTTATTTACAGAAGAGTAGTTTCAACAGACAACTTAAGTTTACGATGAGTTTTGACATTTTCCCATCTGGCAACACAGTGGAATTCCTTCTACAAACCACAAGTACTACCTATCCTGGGATGATAGCGCTGAAAAGCAATGTTTCTATCACGAGTCATCACTACGGCCGCTGTGACTAACACTGAGTAACCTGTTTTTCACTAATGGAGAAAATTGCACTTCTAGCAATGTAAAGATGCCACTCCAACGCTGCTCATGGCCCAAAAATAACTACCAATCTAAGTGCTCCTAGAGTTCCGATCCTAATGTAGCACATTTTAACATGGATAAGTTCTTCTTGTTGTGCACACAATGACTACAAAGGTGTTGTTGTGTCCAAAAAGTAGAGCTAAAAAGTAAAGACTGAGCTTGCACATTCTGAAAAGCACGACTGCGCTGGTACGCACAATACTACCGAAGAAGACACTGTGACATCACTGGACAAAGCAGCTCACCACCAAAGCACCAGAATGTACTAAGAAAAGCCAGAGAGACAGAAATACGAATTATATATCTCATGTATGCATAAGGGTTTCCTTGATTTACTGTCCAAAAGTACAAAATGAGGCTTTGTTTGACAACAAATGGCACGTAACTGAGTCAAATATGCTGGCATGATCCTCTACAGTTTTATGCAAAGATGGTTCACCTGAGTAGAGAAGAGACAAATATTGTTTAAACGGCAGTTAGCATTGAGAGGTATGACCGGCCTGGGAAGGACGTCCCTTTAGCCTTCTCCCTGCTTAGCACTTCATTCGTCTGGGTTCTGCCTGTGTTTTTTTTTACTCAACAAGTACAGCAGATACTTTTTTTCCCCCATATGATTCTGGTTTAAAGTATGAGTGCTACGTGAGTAAGTCCATGCTTTACACTTTTTACAAAGCTTAGTAATAACTCATATTGCAATTAGCAAAGTAAAAGTCCATTCAGATAACTTCCATTGACCCCGTCACCACTGACTGGACCACCGGGGCCCCTGTGATGAGTAGAAACTCTCACTGAGGTAAAATGAAACAGTGAGTCAGTCCTGTCCTCTCTTGGCTCACAGAACGGGACAGTTACAATTAGATGCTCTACTTATTAGAAAAATGTGCAGTATCAAGAAACTGATCAGAATAAAATAATAAACAAGTTACCAAAATGAGGTATACTGTTTGATAAAACCCTTAGAAAAGAGGAAATAAACACAAATATCAAAGTAATTATCATCTCAGTGAAATGAAAGTAGTAATATTCCTCCAAAGAAATCGGATTGTTCTAGCCAACAACAAGACAAACAAAACATGGTTATTTACATGTAATAAAAAGACAGTGGAAAGTGAATTCAGCTCCTCTGAGGAGAGCATACATCCTTTAAGCTGCAGGCAGGTTTTATGCTTGTCCCCGTTTCGGCTCCGTGTACCAAGACTGCACATAAATACACTGTTGCGTTTAAGTTCGATTTTGACAGCTACATTGTCACAAAATCTAACTCCTGCATCACACTTGTCTTATTGTCTACTTTACTGCCAAATAGTTGTGTCCTTTCTCCAGTGACAAAAGAGGACTTAGTGGAAGGGTAAACCTTTGCTGCTGCTTTGTATCTCCTTAGAAATATACATACAAAAAGTAAAACTTTTTATTATTGTCTTTCTAAAGAGACGACCTCACACCCACAACTGGAAGGTCAATTTAATTTTGGGCAGAGTGAACGACAACTTACTTGGAACATTATTTTAAAGGCTCTGATTCGGTGACCTCCATCCGCTTTGTTGTCGTCCCAATGAGCTTTGCTCAGGCTTCAGTATCTGCAAATGATGAACGGAAGAACTGAACAAAGGTCTGTGAGAGCGCAGCAGGAATTTACCACTTCTCTTCCTAAGGTTCATCATCGTGGCTGACCTGGTCTGAGAGAGGTGGGTTTGAGGTATCGACCTGGAATGCTTTTGAGAATATTATGCTTATTTCTGGATTCAGAACATACATACTTGTGAGGATGATAAGAAAGCATGAATATAGAACAGTATCAGTAAAGAACCTGGATCAAAAATATACACGCATCGTTTTGGTGGTTTGTTTTAGCTTACTGCATATAAACTATCTTCCTTACAATTCAATTGTCATCCAAATAAATGACGTCACAGCAGACGGTTTTCCCTTAACAGCTGATAGAAACCTGCTCTGCCATCACTCATTTGATTTGGGCCACAAGTAAAACATTTTCTCTTTAGATTGATGAGTTGAGCGGCACAGCGGGAGTTTGCTGCCATTGTTGAGCTGGCTTTTAAATTGATAAAGTCTGAATTCTATTAAATTCAAATTATCCAAACCGTACTCATTTATTCCCGAAATATTTTGCAATTAATCTGTGGCCGAGGTTTGCTAAAACACATTCAATACGGTCCGTATTTGCAGCAAAACAAACATGTTAATCCTGTCGGGAAGGTAAGTACGTACATGGTAAGGCTAAAAAAATAATTCTCTTTGAGGTACCGACCATGCATTTTGTTAAGAAAATCAAGAACGAAGAAGAATTTTTACAAAAGACACAATTACGTTGGTGAGAAACATTTCTCTCATGCATGTCGCGAGGGACCATTTACATTTTTCTTGCTGATATGATTGAGTTGAGCTGGTGAGATTTTGACACTTGACCGGAGTAGAAAGATGGGCAGCATGCTGCTGAGTTTATCAATCCCCTTTTCACTGCTGGATGACATGAAAGCCACCTGAGAGAAGATGAGGCATCGTGAAGAACACAGCTGGACTCAATGGGCTCTGCTTGATTCCGTCACTCCAACTGTGGCAAATTTGCAGTCACACAGATGTACAACATCATTTCACTCTCATCCAGAGATAGCTTCATCCTTTGCGAAATGAGTTAAAGTAAAGTATATTCCTTCTTCCTCCTTCTGCTGTAATTTGAACACTTCTGCCTCCTGCTTTACTGAGCGTTGCGCTGCTGTCACACCAAGAAGTGACATTTGTTCACGCACAATAGTCGAGGCTGCAAGCTTGGCTTGCCGTTCCATGAAAGTCATTTCTGCGTCATTCCTGCTGGGGCGACAAGGCATTTGAAGTCCATTTTTTTAGTGTTGCTTTCTTTTGTGTGTGTGTGTGTGTGTGTTTATTACATCAATAGATCTTGTAAGATGTAAGATGTGTAGCAGTGGCGCAGGGAGGTGGCACAAGTGTCCTATCGCAGAGTGTTACGGCCACAGCCTTCTGAGTTTGTTACTTTTGTAATTATTAATTGGTTTGGCCTTTCTGAGTGCAGGCTCTGCCCCTGCGCACCTGAGAGCGGTTGCGGTGATGGCTCAGGCTGAGCATATAGAGGGGAGAGCGACTGAGCGCCGGGGAAAAGGAGGAGACCTGCGAGAGCGCCAGGCCCGGCTGCAACACCAGGAGACCAGTGTTTTGTGTTCGAGCGACTATTGTGTTATGTTAAGGTGTAAAACGGAGAGGCTGGAGGTTGGAAAACTATAAAAGATCTTTGCATCGCTTCCTGCCTATCGCGTTTTCTTTATGTTGCTGACCCCTTGGCTGAACGAGCCTTCACCCTATCGAGGGGTTCGTAACATAAAGAAAACGCGATAGGCAGGAAGCGATGCAAAGATCTTTTATAGTTTATCTATTATGTTTTGAGGTGGCAGTGCGTCCCTCGCTACCTGTGAGAGGCGTTGACTTTATCATGGGTAACGATATAGCTGGGGGTAAAGTCATGCCGGTGGTGCAAGTGGTCGACGTCCCGCACAACGACTCTCAGGCGGATGTGCTTGCTAGAAACCTGCCAGGGGTGTTTAGCGCCGTGGTGACGCGAGCCCAAGCAAAACATGACCTTCAGGAAAGTAATATACTCTGCGATTCTGTGTTTCCCAAGATTCTGGGAACTGACGTGCTGGCTGATCCTCCAGAGCCGCCCAAAACGACTCCAGGGTCAGCTAGGAGCTTTGATCTCATTACTAAGTTGCTTGTTTCGCGCGAAACTCTGATTGAAGCGCAGCGAGAAGATTTATCGAATTGATGCTGATACCAAAGTACGACTGCGGGAGTTGGAGTTACAGGCTGCGCCCGAGGTACCAAAGAAATCTACTGTCAAAACATCTCTGGTCGAAGGTGATCCCGTTACGTCGCCTGGTCCATCACCGTCGGGAGGCGTTGACGAACCAGTTGGTACTGGTGGTGATTCGGTAGCGCCGTTTTCAACACATTTTGACGTGGCTAAAAACATCTCGATCGTTCCACCCTTCCGGGAAAAGGAAGTGGAAGCTTATTTTCAAGCTTTTGAACGAGTGGCGTTAGCATTAGGATGGCCAAACGCGGTTTGGGCACTAATGTTGCAATGTAAACTCTCAGGTAAGGCGCAGGAGGTATGTGCATCACTCTCGTTAGAGGAAAGCGTACAGTATGAAGCCGTGAAAGCTGCAATTTTACGGGCATACGAACTTGTTCCTGAGCATTACCGACAGCGGTTCCGTACCTCGAAAAGGGGCACGTCGCAAACGTATGTCGAATTCGCTCGGGAAAAAGGCATCTTATTCGATCGCTGGACCAAGGCGTGCAAGGTAACTGACTATAACTCTTTGCGAGAGCTGTTGCTAATCGAAGAATTTAAGAACTGTGTTCCGGAACGTACTGCATTGTATCTGAACGAACAAAAAGTCAGCACTGTTCAGCAGGCTGCGGTGTTAGCTGACGAGTATGCTTTAATGCACAAAACGGTGTTTTATAAGCGTCCGTCTGATTCTGGGGGGTCCGCCGTGAAGGAGAAGGAAAACCCTTCTGACTCGAGAAGTACATGGAGTCCTCCCAGTCCGAAATCTAATCGAGAATGCAGTTACTGTCACAAAATGGGTCATAGTATGGCCTTCGGTCTCCGAAACGCGCCCGCAACATTTCAGCGGTTAATGTCCACAGTCTTAGGGGGGGTCCCTAACTGTACTGTTTATTTAGACGATGTTGTCGTTTACTCGTCTACGTGGGATGAACACATGTTAACGTTGCATAACGTGTTTGGCCGATTGTCCGCTGCTTCCTTAACGTTGAATCTCAAGAAATGTGAATTTGTAAAAGCTTCTGTAACGTATCTAGGGAAGCAGGTGGGAAATGGTCAAGTGCGACCACGGGACGGAAAGGTGGCTGCTGTGCTCAATTACCCAACACCTACTACGAGGAGAGAACTACGTAGGTTCCTGGGAATGGTTGGCTACTATCGTTGTTTTTGTAAAAACTTCTCGACTGTTGTTGCGCCGTTAACCACACTGTGTAGTCCAAAAGTGGGCTTTCTTTGGACTAACGAATGCGAGCAGGCATTCCTGTCGGCAAAATCTCTCCTTTGCAGTGCACCGGTGCTGTCCGCCCCCGACCTGACTCGTCCGTTCCAGCTGGAGGTGGACGCCAGCGCGGTTGGAGTGGGAGCTGTCCTTCTGCAGGAGGGTGCTGACAACCTAGGCCACCCTGTATCATACTTCTCAGCTAAGTTCAACAGTCATCAGTTGAATTATTCAACCATTGAAAAAGAGACCTTAGCTCTGTTGCTAGCGTTACAACAGTTTAACGTCTACGTGGGGGCTAGTGCGTCTCCTGTCGTTGTTTATACAGATCATAATCCACTTGTTTTTCTGAGCAAAATGTATAACCAAAATCAACGACTCATGCGTTGGGCCTTAATGGTTCAGCCGTACAATCTTGAGATCCGTCATAAAAGAGGCTCTGACAACGTAGTTGCAGATGCATTGTCTCGCGGATTAATTTAGGAACAGGTTTTTCTGTATGAATCCATGCAGAATCAGTTTTTCTTTTTCCCTCTAAGGAAGGAGGAAAAGAGGAAGGAAAAAAAATGATTCTTCCTCTAGGGGGGGAAGTGTTACGGCCACAGCCTTCTGAGTTTGTTACTTTTGTAATTATTAATTGGTTTGGCCTTTCTGAGTGCAGGCTCTGCCCCTGCGCACCTGAGAGCGGTTGCGGTGATGGCTCAGGCTGAGCATATAGAGGGGAGAGCGACTGAGCGCCGGGGAAAAGGAGGAGACCTGCGAGAGCGCCAGGCCCGGCTGCAACACCAGGAGACCAGTGTTTTGTGTTCGAGCGACTATTGTGTTATGTTAAGGTGTAAAACGGAGAGGCTGGAGGTTGGAAAACTATAAAAGATCTTTGCATCGCTTCCTGCCTATCGCGTTTTCTTTATGTTGCTGACCCCTTGGCTGAACGAGCCTTCACCCTATCGAGGGGTTCGTAACACAGAGGCTGCTACTTTTCCTGCCCTTAGTATGCGCCGTGTGACATCCAACGCACTTAGTTTCAGGAGCTTTGTATGAAGGACATTGAGTGTTGGGGTTTTCTGTGGGGATTTAACAGCAAAACCACAGATTGGGGAAGAAGCTGCAATACATTAAAGCAACAGAAAATGCCTTTGATATAAACAGAAGAAGGTACGAATGCAAGTAGAAAAGGCTGTAGAATCAAAGCTAAGAAATGATTACACAAGATGCGAGTTACATAAAACTAATAAAACCACACTGGGAACCGTCCTGAAAAGAAATGAGGTAGTGTTGTTGATAAGGAGTCGGGATGTACCAGGTCCCCGTTTACACGGCCAAAAACAATACTGAGGCAGTCAATTATGGAAAGCGATCAACTTTAAGTTGAACGGTTTGGGGTCAAGGTAAAACAAATTGAACCATATTTAAATGTGTTTTTTTTATCAAAAGTTATGCAGAAATGTGTCGTATATGATTTCTTGCACTGTAGCAAGAGCATAGTTGAAAAATTACCTCATACAACTGGAATCAAGTTGTGCATGAATCAAATTGAAAACATGGCTAGCTGTTCACATTGGCAAATGATCATACAGGTCTAAATGACAACTAATGGCACAGTGTCACATTAGTACAACCCTAACTAGGAGGTGGTCTACCTATGCGTTTTCTCCCACCAACATAATCAGACCAGTACCAACATAAACACGTAAATACTTTGATTGCAAAGTAAGATATACACCATTGAACCAGTTTTTTCTTACTTTTCAATAAGGGACCCTCGCAAGGAAAAACAATCACAACACTTGGATATACTTAATTTTCCAGAAGAATACCAAATCTGTATACATTTCCTTTTACATTTGAAGTGTTTTTTCCTTCAGTTGAAACAGGTGTTTTGTACTTGCACTGAATATCCATAGAAATATCCATAGGTTATGAATGCACCCCCTCAATACAGTCTGGGAATGTGTAAATGTGTGTTTCCGCGTTGTGTCACTAGAGCTTTCTGAGTGTGTGCGTGTGTGTGTGTGTCTGTTAGCGGGAGGACCCTGAGACAGCAGGAGGCTGCTACGAGATACAGGTGTTCTGCACTGCAGAGTGTGCAGGTTTTCTTTAAGGCTTATTATCAGTGCCCCGTTAAAAGTCGCATCCGCACGGCAAAGCCGGAGGGAGATCTATGGAGCGCGCGTTTCAGATTCCTCCATGATGGCAACTCGTCTCCCTCACCTCAGCGAACATTCCCGAGCTCCGTCGTGGAATGAATCCACGTGCGACCCAGTGGGAAAAGCCTCCTTTAACCCACTTCCATCTGCTCGGTTAAGTTAAATCTTTCTTTTCTTTCCCAAAGGCAGGATGAAAAACCCAGAGGAATATATGGTTGCATTGCTAGAGAATGCATTACCATACACAGTATTCTACATCTAAAAATATACGGTCCATGTGTGGTTTGTATACCAACCCTATGAAACAATGAATTCAAGGACTGTATAAAAACTTTCCAAGAGAAAGGAATCCAATAATGAGGTGCATAATAAAATAATCCCTAGGGATTCTACCTGGGTAAGAAGAAGAAATCAGTCGGATACCTGTGTGTGTGTGTGTGTGTGTATGTGTGTGTAGGGGCGGCTGCTACGGGCACAGGTAGCTGTGTGCTGCTGAGGTAGAGTGGACCAGGCCAGAGCTGACGAACGGGGCGGAGGACATCCTACCAGAGACGGCCTTCCCTGGTGCCAAAGGGCAGCGCCCGGACTCCCCGTTCTCCAAGTGCTCCGACTTCAGTACAGGGCGCACGCTTTTTGGGGAGTGGAAGCCATTGGTTAGCCCCGTGTCCCTGTGCGGTTCTTTATCCGCGCTCAGCTGGTCTGCCGTGCCTCGCAGCTCCCGGTTGTGATCGGCCCCGTGCTTCATCGAGGGAGGACTCGCGGGGCCTTGGGCCGGCGTTAGTTTTTCAAAAACGTCCTCGTGGCCTGGCGGGTTTGGCTGACTCACGGGGGAATGTCCGTCCTCTGATAATGAGGGTCCCCTGGTGGTGTTGGAATCCTCCCGTTCGCTGCCCTCCTCTTCCTCCTCTTTCTCTTTTTCTGGGTCTGCCAGCCCCGAGTGAACGATGACTTCTGCCTCCACCTGGTTGCTGCACACGGACGTACAAAGATGATCTTCCAAGTCCTGCAACAAAAAAACGACACGTTTTACCTCAGGTTGTTCTATTAGTTGATCCACCCAGATTGCATAAACATGTTTTTGGAGACGCGTACGACGGAATTTTACAAAAATATCAGCAATAATCAGAACTGACTGTTTGCTAAAACCCTAAAAGTCATAGCTGATTAACCAACTGGCCTGTTTGGTTTGTCACACATGTCCAAAGGTGAGTGATGTGTGTTTTTCTCTTTTCAAGAACAAAGTGCAAAAGTGTTAAAAAGGATTAAGCTGTGTTTTTATCTACTCTGTCCTACTAAATAACTCGGTGTCAGTGTAGTAAGTGTTACTGCCCGCACTAAGGAGCATGTCTCAAGCAGAGGTTACATTAGTGTGTGAGGTTAGATGTGATGATGACAAAGGACCCCGTCACAATCCATTGTGTTGCTGTTTCCAAAGGGAAAGACCAGCAGTTCAATCTGTCGCTGTATTAAATTTGGGGTTATCATGGGATATTATAGCATTGTTAACTAAGATAGCATTTTATTTGCTAACTTCCCCCCCTGGGACATGCATCCTAAGCCTCCTCCTTCATATATGAAGCCATCAAGTGCATATCTAGGAACCATAAAAAACAGACCTATTACTTTAATCAAGGAGCTGTTTATTTAGAGAACACAATTTAGGTGGTAAATCTGCCCTGGTGACTCTCATTGTTAGAGAGAAGATATGGAAGCTTAACAGCCATGGCAACAGTAAATACGGGGTTTGTTTAGCAAACAGTCAATTAGAAAATGACATTTGATTTGTGATGTTGTAAAATTGCTTGTGAAAGACAGGTTATTAACCAAAACAGATTTTTCATAGAATTTAGTTCGTTCGTTTACCGTGCAATTATCAATAATTTGCATGTTGAGAGCTCCATTAATGAGTGTTGGAGAGTCTTCTGTCATGGTGTCTCTGTATCTAGTGATTCTGTTGGCCCAGTTATGACTCACAGAACCATTCCAAGCAGCCTGTAAGACAGTGCACGTACCAAATTACAACTATTATCCCTCCATCAACACGTGCAAAAAAACAACAACAGGATATCCAAGGCCCAGCAGGAGAAGTGCCCCCCCTTCCCCCCCACCCTCTCCCCCTTTGGAGGTTTTTGACCTTGGGATCAGGTGCTTGGGCATCTTCCCCTTTACCCGGATTAGCACTTGCCATCAGGCTCTGCTCCTCGGGGGCATCTTCTGGCAGCGGGCCAGACTCCGGGATGCCCCGGGGCATCAGCGTCTCCAGCTCGTGGCCGTCGCTGCACTCTGGCACGTTGGAGGAAGCGGTGCAGCCTCCTCGTCTGTACTGGGGGGTCGCAGCTGTGGAGTCCAGGCCCCTAGACGCCTCCCTATTTGGACACGTAATGAGGGGTAGTGGTCTAAACGTTAACACACACTACCTTGATTTGGCTTTTAGTTAGTAAGAACGCATCTGTAAGTAGGCGGAAGGTTACACAGAATACAATGTGTGTAGAGACATGAGTAAACCCACCTCGGTTTGCCGTTACGAAAGCTGAAACACATGCAGAGGAGGATGCATATCAGTCCCAGGCATACACCAACTATGATGCCTGTCACCGCGTGGATGTCCAGCTCTGTTCAGATACCATGCACAGGGATAAAAGCACTATTAGAATCCATGTAAACAATCATCAGTTCACACATGGAAATATATGATCATACAGTATGTGATCGGTTTCCAGTGGCTACGTGATATACCTCCACCTTAAAAAGAACTAAGACAAAATGCATTTGTACCTTGAATCGCCATTAGACTGAGGCTTGATGTTTTTGAGACTACATATCGAGACCTTCATCTAAGACAAAGTTGCAATGATGAAGAGACACGAGGCGACATTCAGCGGGGGACAGCAGACCTTCATTGATATTCATTTATGCTAGGTGTCTTTGGCAGTCTGGACATATAAGAGAGGAAACAGATGGCTGGAGATCTCAACCACCCACTCCCATTCCCACTGGCAACACTGTTACAGCCCATGTGAACAAAATAAACCTGCTACTCCCTCTAACTGAGTATATGGGTAGAACCAAAACAGATTTTCAATGCTCATAAGTTATATATCTACAAGTTGGTGGACAGCATGTTCACAACAATATTCCACAGAAATGGATTAAATAGTCGAATGGTCGAAGGAGTGCTGTTTTGTTGATGAACTGTTTGTAACCACAGGGAGTTTGACTGGCTCGCCGTGGATAATAGTTGACAGAATAGTATTTATGTTTGAATAAAAAGAAGTATCTACATTATCTAATATTTCAAAGTAAAAGGTGAAATGCTGCCTGGTGGAATTAAAATGTGTACAATGAGATTGAGTGCTTAAACCAAGTGACATGAAAGTAGTACTTTTCACAGCAATTCTCCCAGCACAAAGAGGGGTAATTCAAAGGTCTCCCTTGGGGGTGGTTGATGAGTCCGCCACTTTGATACCCACAGTTCTCCTCACAATGGCGTACATATAATAGCGTCCTGCCGAGCTACACTTTCTCTGCTGGCAGTGACGAATTACCCACTTTACATTAATAGAAAAGTGGTGTGCATGGGTTTGGTGTGAAAATATGTGCTTGTGTGTCAGTGTGTGTGGATACGGGGTGAGACTTGCGTCTATTTATGGAAGCGAAAGTGGTGATATTTTGAACCTCAGAATACTTTAAGAGGACAATCTGTAAACTACCACCTGCACTAACGTTTTGAACAGAAAAGGCCCGCCCCCTCTTGAAATACCACCACGTGCATCAATAGTCCCTGTAATGTCCACTCTGCATACCGCAATTACCATAATTCTGAAGTGGGGTGTAAACATCCTTTACAGGTGAAAAGGGCCCTGGCCCCACCTCAGTTGACGCTCCCAGCTTAAAAAAGTAATGAGTGCCGCTGGACAAACCCTGGACTTCCACACTGGTGATGCTCCCTGAGACAGACAGACAGAAACCACAGTTTCAATCACAGTTTTATCGAGTATTTAACAGGATTGTAAAAAATAAACGGCGCAGAATTTGTGTCCGACGCCCACCGTCCTGAGAGAGGTTTTCCCACATGTGCTCCGGGTGGCTGAGGTTGCTGCTGAACAGGATCTTGTAGCTGGTGATGATGCCGTTAGGCTCCAGCGGGGGGCGCCAGCTCGCCATCACAGAAGAGGAGTCCAGGGCGCTCAGCTGCAGCTCCTCGGGAGGCGTGGACGGCCCTGGAGGAGACAGGACCACGAGGTCAGTAATTAGGGCCCAGAAAATGAGGGCCTCACAGCTGCATAATGTATATCGTCTCGGCGGGGGGATTTGACACGTTGTGTTACAACCATCTGCGTGCTCGTGTCCTCGCCACCTGGGAACAAGAGAGCAGGGACGAGAGGGGCAGCGCGGGAATGTGCTGGGGCTCAGGTGACGATGCATGGCAGCGGAGAGTGGTGGTGGTGATGTCATTGAAAGCAGCCCACTATACGCTCGCCACCCATCCTTGGCTTTCAGGCTGAGCTACTGGCCAATATAAGAACCGGCTGTTTGTGTAAATAGGAACAAGTTACAACTCTTGAGGTTTCACAAACACAAGGAGAGCTACACTACTCTGGGTTTTTTGCATGGCGTAGTTCCCCTCGAGTTGTTTTGAAGTGATTTGCTCAAGTTGACTGCAAAGTTGTGACAGCAGAGTGGTTTCAAAGTCAAGTAAGTAAAAAGAGATTTGAGAAGTTCACACTTCCCATTTTCCAAAACAAGTATATGCCAACAAATGGCATAGCTCTGCAAGTCTGTCTCATTTCCTTCGCTTATTAATAATAACTAAACCTTTTAAAACAAAGTTACAAGCTGCTTTCCCGTCAAAAACGAATAAAAGCAATACATGAAAGTATTATGTTACAAGCATGTTATAAAGGCCACACAAGTACAATTCAGTGAGTGGGAGGAGAAGAAGAAGAGGAGAACTCATGGAGAGGAGCCCAGCAGAGACTCACGGTCGGACAAGGTCGACTCCTCCACTGTGCCGCTGAAGGGTCCCACCACGTCCACTCCATTTGACTGCACCGCTATTTCATAGCGGGTGAAGGGCCTCAGCGCTCCGAGCAGCAGCTCCTGAGCAGAGCTGCAACACACAACAGCACGGGAGAGTCCCGAGCGTGTGAGGCACGGCGTATTTGATTTGTATCCTGAGCTGACAGAAAACATAACATTTGTGCAGACTGTTGAACCCCTGTAGCGTTCAATATGCATTACTTTGATATTGTCTTTTATCACCTGCATTCTATTTGGCAATTATTTACTCTATTATGTTTACTATTGAGATATTTATACAAATAACTGCATAACGTTACCAAAGAGTAAATATGACATGACAAGGTTTGGGGACGACAGGAAGAATACACGGCATATATAAAGAAAAGGAATATCCATCTAATTCAGTGCAGTTCCTGATGGATGCTGCTTCTTAATGTTTTCTTTCCTCGCAGCTCAAGTTTGTTTAGGCTTCACACAGAAACACTGTTAAAATGGATCATATGGATTGACCTTTTTAAATAGGGAGCGGTATTCCTAAAATATAATACAAAACTTATCACCATAGTATAAACTATATGTTTTGAGGTATTCAAAGCTCCTGAATCAAAGAAAAGAAAAGGTTGTTTTTCCCCTGACCTGGTGTAGTAGGAAACCAGGGAGGCGTTGGTGGTTCTCGCTGGACTGCAGCGCACCGTGTAGTTGATGATGCGCACGGTGCTGAACCGTGGCTTCTCCCAGCGCAGCCAGATGGAGGTGGAGCTGTTGGCCACCGCCTGGATGCTGCTCGGGGGCAACGGAGGGGGCCGCATGGGCGGCAACCATGGCGACACTTTAACACACACATTTGCATTGTTTGCCGTGGTACAGTTTAGCATTTTCGTTATCCCAGTAAAGTGGATTGAGGGTGGGGAGGCCTTTTTTGACAAGACAAGATGAATCTTACCTCTGTCGAGGGTTTTGTCCGTCCTTCCTTTCCACACTGCAGCTGCTCCGTCTAATTGCTTGTTGAATGCCCAAACCCTTACCTCATACTGCCGATCAGGGACTGACACACACACACACACAGCAAAATGATTAAATACTTTTCATTAGAGCCGTCCGTCTCTTTTTTTTTATTTGGAGAGGTCAAAAGCTTACCAAGCCCCGTGAGGAGATGATACCTGGCCTTCTTACGCAGCCTTATGGTGTGCGTCTGTGCCGCCTTTTCTCCATTGTCTGACGCATCGGCCTCCGCCTCTCGACATGACAGCTTGTAGCCAGACGCCGCTGTGTGATTTGGCGAGGGATGCCATGTGACATTGAGTGTGTTCACTCTGGCTCTGACTTTCAGCTCAGTGGGGGCAAAAATCACTGAAAAAGTTTGAAAAAAATCATTAAAAATACGAATAATAATTCCACCTTTCATTGGACTGTTGGCCTAAATGTCGTATGTCTACTAAGCGAGTAAATGGCCATTTAGAAGCAGTACGTTATAATAAATAAGCGATGTTCCCCCTCTGAAAACCGCACGTCAGTCCAAGGAGTGAACTACAACTCGAGTTGGAAATCTGCACTGAAACTAAACGGGAATTTTAGGAATGAACAAATGCGGAGTGGGACCGGGTTCTGGTGTCTTCCTTACCCGCGCTGTGGTTGCTGTAGCCGTAGTGGGCGAATGTTTGGTGCTGAGCCCACTCAGAGGGAACCCCGAAGCCAACGCCTGTCCCAGCTGCTATCCTCAGTCGGTACGCCTGGTTGGGCTGCAGCTCTTTTAGTGTGAACTGAGTCTCATTGCCCCTGACTTCCACAGAGAACACAGTGTCCACTGGGGGGGAACACATCACACACTTTAAATAGGTCAGCTTTGAAAAATGCTTCCATGAGTTCTGAGCATCTTCTTTATTAAGCCAATCTCAACTACAATCAGAAACGGAACAGAACCGTGGGACGTTAGTAAAGTATGCAGCTCCAACTATCTTGTGCAGTCACTGTCGGGCCAACTTAATGTCCTGCAGGGGTTACTCACCCTGATCCAGAGTGCTGTACTCAATGCGATAGCGGGTAACAGACCCTCTGCTGTGCTGCGAGGACAACGGATGCCACATCAGCCTGATGTCTGTGGGGGAGGTGCTGACTATAGACAGCTGAGGAGGCGCACTTGGTACTGAAGGGGTGAATAGAAGGACACACTGAACGGTTTGATTCAAGGCGCATGCTATAGATGTTCACGGCTACTGACTGATCTCTAGGAAACTGCTGATTTCATTTTAAGCTGATTTGTAGTTTTAGAAAACTCATTCAACGTGTGTTGTAATTAACCAACAACAATTGAAGTTCTCTTTGGTCAACTAATAACGTCTTAATCAGTGTCGGGTTTTGTCCTGTGACACTTTCTAAAAAGCAAAAGTGTTCTGTCGAGTCTCTAACGAGCTGCTACCACTCTTTAAAAAACGGCCGACACTGTTGACTCAAACTCTTAACAATCCACAGTCTGCACAATATTACATCAGCTCTGCGAGTCGGCACGAGGTCTGCGTGACGTTATGAGTTTGATTACGTACCATCCTCGAGCATCTCTACAGTGACTGGCAGGGAGGGCCGACTGGCACCCATGGGAGAGTAAGCCACCACAAAGAATGAGTAGGCAGTGTGGGGGAGAAGCTCTTTAACGTGATATTCTGTGGTGTCGTTGTTCATTGCAAACTGGTACTCCTCGTTATCCGAGCCTGGAACGCATGAAAACACAAAGTGTTGGACATGTGGACACGCGTGCTGCACGCACACGCACACACTCAGCCAAAAGGAGACACACCCGCGGCCCGCTGGCAGTGCACGGAGTAGCCGATGATTTGGTCCGCGTTGTACTCGGGTTTCTCCCAGGTGAGCAGGGCGGTGGTGCTGGAGGGCGTGGCGGACAGGTGGCGAGGAGGGCTGGGCAGACCTTCCCTCACAATGACCGTCAGCTTGGCGGTGGCACACGCCGTGCCCAGTCCGTTGTCCGCGATGCACTGGTAGTAGCCCTCGTCCTCCAGTGCTAGCTGGTTGATGAGCAGGACTCCGGGGCTTTGGGTTTTCACTCGTCGAAACGACTTGATGGGCTGACCGTCCTTAAGCCAGTGCAGCACTGGGGGAGGCTCTCCAGTGCTGTTGCACACAAACCTGGCTGTGTTTCCCCGGGAGAGGGACACTGTCTCCGGGGGCTGGAGAATCACTGGAGGGGCTGTTGGGACAAGGAGTCAAATCCTGGATTTACAGGCGAATTGGATTATATGCACTTTTAAATTAAAGGACACCCTAAAAAGCTTTGAATGGAGTTGCCAGGCTTTTGTGACAAAAATGGCATCCCAAAACATGTGTTGGCAGGGAATATTATAAATGTCGATAATTCCAGTGGACATTTACAGTGTTTCGGCTGACTCCGATACTCCTCCGAGGCCAATCAACACAGCAGCTGCAGCTAGGAGGACACGGATGGTGGAGATCTTTCGGAGCCTGAGCTGACGAGACCTTTGCTCAAATGACCTTCTCGTACTGACGGAAACTGAATCACTGTGCTGGAACGTGGGTACTTTTTGTTGGATATGGTCGGCGACGACAACGCTGAGACTGAGAATTGTGTGTGACATTTTTCCTCGTCACTAGGACAGAGGTATGCTGGAGACCTTCTACGGGATCAAAGACAAACCAGAAGAGACAACCGAGACCAGAAGGGCAATTTTTTGTCATTGTGTCATTGCTGTTTATGAAATGTTTCAAAATGAGTTAACGTTGCATTAAAGGCTGTCTCAGCAAGAGAGGAGCTTGTATTCAGACAAGACATAAGGATACTTCCTATATTTCTTATGTTGTGAGTTTATTTTTTCTATTTCGCCAACGCAAAAATATGCAGCTCCCAATCAATGCAAACTGGTATGTGCAGGCACAGATGGTATTTTCCACGTAAGGGTAAGCTGGCAATGGAAACTACTCTCCATGAAGCAGCACCCGAAAATGTCTAATCCCACCATTATGTATAAAACAAAACAATCTCCTACCGGGCACATGCAGCTCAGCAGCAGCATTGATGAATTCTCTGGTCTTGGGCTTGTTGGCCCGGCACACATAGATGCCCGCGTGGTGACGCCTCGTGTCCCTAATCACCAGGTTGGTTGCGAGGACAACCACATCAGTGGAAATGGGCTTTCCGTCTGATCAAAAAGGAGAACGCAGCAAAGAACAACGGTCTGAGATCATACAGAAGAAGGAATTCTCAGGCTTTACGTCGCCTGAGTAACAGCACACAAGAGGGATGCGGCAGAGGATTCTGACCTGTAATCCTATGAGATGACTGAGGTGTCTGCAATGGCACACTTTTAAAACCCTTTACTATTCACGTATAGTGCACAAGCCATCACTTTGTATTGCACATGACCTGCTTATTGCACTGCAGCTTTTTGGCATCTGATAAAATGTGTAGAATTCCCTGAATAGGGAATGTTAATCGCTAATGTGGGAAGAATTTCAGATGGAGCACTAGATGTTGCCAAATCACAGACCGAAGGAATTTGTTCCACATGACATTATCACCACCAGGATTGTCCGTGTGTGTGTGTGTGTGTGTGTGTGTGAAACATAAAACATAAGAACTTTAGTTGAGAGGAGACACAAGCGCTCCCAGCTGTAAAACAACACATTTACAACCGCGGGTACACAAATAAAAAAAACAAATTTAAAAATCAAAGCACACACTTAAACCCCCCCAGATAATTAGGATAAGAACCGTGAAAACACAAGAGCATTATGGAGCGTTACCTTGTCTGCTCCAGGACACCAGTGGCTTCGGCTGGCCTTGTGCCATGCACTCCATCACAGCGGGACGGCCCAGCACCACTGTTGCATTCTGAGGGGGGGAAACAATGGCAACTCCATTCAGGGCTTCAGTAGAGTCTATAAGAAAGAAAAAAGTAGGTATACTTTGGTATTAGGGACAAGGGAATAGTTTTGTGATTTTGTGGTAGAAGCTGCAGAGTTGCCTGTTTGAATCTTTCGATTTGAATGAGAGATGTTTGCAGCCTGGTTACGACTTCTGTACGGCCTCATGCTTCATCCCTCACCAGTAAAGTCAAACAAATTGGCTATTCAGTCTGATTATACGGCCCCGGTAATATCCCATCTTTCCAATCATCATTACATGTGAACTGCCAACATGAAATACTCAGTTTAAAAAAGAAATGATGATACGCAGGAATATTTACACCTCATCCCTTTATGCTAAAAAGCTTGGACAGAAATCCGATTAAGGCGCTAAGGGAACAACTGACTCTCTGACCTAGTCGGAGGGTTGCAGAGGATCACTTGAATACAGATTTCTGTTAGCAATTTATTTAGATTACCCACAAGATCAGAGGACAGTTTCAACTGCTTTAAAACACAGTAAGTAACATCATCATAAAAAAAAAAACTATAGTTGTGTAATTAGTATGTGATTCATACTTTCTGATCGAGAGCAGCTCTTAGTGGATGGTGAATATGACCTGAATAGGAAATGTTGATCAGAGGTTTTTGCAAGGAAATGTGCCGTAAAGCGTATTTTCATAGAGATGATCAAGAACAGAGGGGATATTGACACGAGAAAAAGAGGGAGAAAAGGACAGACTCTTTTTTTTACTCAGTCAATAATGGAACTGAGGCACATCTCTGCTCTTTAGGGAAGGATGTTATTCAACACATATTAATCATGGGTTTAGGGCACCAGAAACTATTTTTTTAAATTAGTACCCAAGTATAGCTTGCAAGGCAATTTCCCTGAGCCCAGACAGTCTCAGCAGCACATCATGCAAATGACCTCCGGAGAAGGGCCTGGCATTCAGTAGGCACGTTATAAATTAAACATTGAGATTTCATACAGCAATCCTTGGTTATGCATAAATTAGCCTTTGAGAGGACTGCACCGCCGGGGGAGCCTTCATAGGCTTCTAACGTGGGCATGATGCGTGTGGGCGTAAAGCGTGTAGGAAACTGAAGGTAAAGTAAAGAAGAAATGTACAGAAGTATAAACTAGCCAATTCAAGGAGCTGGAGCACATGTTAAGCACGTGGACTTGAGTGCATCGACATTGAGCGGATTGTGAAGCGCAAGCGAGTCAAGTGGTGGCTTTAGATCTAACATGCGTTATGTGTAAAGGCTCGCAATAGACCTTCAGTAGTTTCCTTCATGGGCTCCACAACGGCAGCAAAAGAACTGAGTGAGGGGGGGGGACATGAAGCGTGAGCCTCCTCGTCATCAGAGCTTTGAAATCCCATCAAAACAAACTGTACATTCCATTTGCCGTGACGTCTGGTGATGGGTTTTCGACCAGCTCTCACCAGGGGGGAGTTGAGGGAAGGGGGGGGGGGGCACCCTGCACGGCTTGGTGCAGTGTGCGAATGTGTGCAGTTAGTTTCAATCACTCATCAGGATCTCATTCTATATTCGCCGTGGTCAAAAAATGCTGCTAAAGTCTTCATTTGATGATCGCCCGGCGCAGGGGGTGAAAAGATGTTCTTCAAACCCGCCTCCCACCCCCCAAATAACTGGCCATAATTAGCTTCTAATTTTGGTGATGTCAAACTGTTGCTTCTCACATGAATGAGTATAACTGAAATAAAGTAACATAAGATTTGTATGTACATGCAAACATGCCACTTCTTCTTCTTCTGCACCAAAATGCCCAAATTGAGGTTGTGACAAAGCTCTAAAAAATAAAACAGCAAACTATTTACTCGGAAGTTGTCCTCCGCACCTTCCCTCTCTGGCATATCAGGCAACGAGTTTATAGATTGCTTTGTTTCTAAAGTTAGCAATGTCATTGATGCCGTTGCACTCGCTTGTCTCCAGTGAGCAACGACCTCCTGGGAGAAGGGCCACGCTAGTCAGGACAGAGACAAGAGAAGGTCGAAGCGCTGGCTACAGGTGAGAAACTACTCTTAAGGTTTTCAACGACAGACAGCGGCACAATTACAGCCAGTCAAGAAAGTGAATCACATCACATCAGTTACGAGGAATTAAAAATCCTGCGGTTGGTTAGTAAAATACATTTCTGATCTGTTGCTGCCCCACGAACCATGTCGACCCCTCCTCTCTGTTCCCAGAGTATGAACCAAACACGGAGAAGCAGCCTTTAGTTTTACTGCTCCTCGTATCGGGACATCTGCAGGTCGGCTGAGACTCTCAGCTCATCTACTACTGTGTTTTATTTCTTAAACAGCACTGGGACTTTTATTCCTTTTTTTAAGCTTGTTTATTGTTTCAATGTTTGTTTTTTAGGTTTAAATTAATGTTACATTTCCTTTTCTTTTGCATTATGTTTTGATGCTTCGATGACTTCATGGAAAGCACAATTTTAAATTGATCTACGAGACCTTTGAGTGTTTGATTCATTTTTTTTTGTTCTATCAAGATGTAGAGAAGTAAAGTTTGAGGCTCCTGACAAAACTCCCCTGGGTTTGTGAATAATGATCAGCGATACAGTTTAGGATTCTGATTATTGGAAGAAGTGAATCGTATCCAACTATAATCATCACTGACGGGATTTCCGGTGTCTCCGCCCTCTATTCTCGTTGTGTGCAACTGGGCGTGGCTTGCATCACCTGGCGCATCTCCACCCCTGTTGGCAATCAGCACTCGCTGCTTTAATAAGGGCTCCAGGTTCCTCTCCGCTCAGCTGATTGGTCGCTGAATCTCGGTCGCTCTACGGCTCCCCCAGCTAGAGAGTTGTTCTTCTCGTATTTACTAAACGTTACGGGTGATTTGCCGGACTTCTGCTTCCTCGCCTCACCAGCCACCGCTGCTCACGCCACCTTCTTGCACTCCCACGCCAACCCCACTGAATTGCACAACTCGTGTCTTGCTCATATTAAGTCACAGAATTTAAATATTAAAAAAAACGTGCAATTATTTTACCGTACGGGGGGAAATGAGTCGCGCGGATGAAGAGATGAACAAAGAGGGCCGAGCACAGAGTGCTCATTTGAAGGTTGCCAGTCAGAACTATTTTTTCTTGAATCTGTATGTGTTGCAGATAATGAGGTCTGAAGGAAAGGAAATGTAATTGCACAGCACTCGCATTTAATATGTTTGCATAAAATGAATCCTTTTACCAAGAAATAACATTGCATAAAGGACAAAAGGTTCGCTGAAGTTTAAATCTGACTAAAAAGGCCCTTTTTTCAATCGCAAATGGTACAGTTGGGGAAAGTCCCAGATCTTTATTAAATGTCTAGTAATCCCATAAATGAACTGTGCTTAACTGTGTTTCTTTCTAATTAAGTGAACCATTAGGAGAGCAGCTAACAGATGACCCTGTTTGACATCTCTTCCTTTTCCTAATTGTATTCAATGAATTGAGTTGAAAGATTTATGCCTCTGAGCTTCTGTCAAAACCTGTTTGCATCTGCTGTCCAGCTGTGGCAAAGAGTGGAAAAGGGATTTTTCAAATGTAACCAATTAAATCTTCAACTATTCTATTCCTACTTTTCCTCAGGCACGTCATAGTGCACAGCAAAGACTGAAGTGCTCAAGTAACTGTATGCGGCCACACTATGTATGCAATATTTTTACCATATTGGACCCGTACTATACCTCACTTTCTAGTTATTTTCGATGGGAATTGCTAAATCATATAATATATGAATTAATCATATATCATAATTCCCTATTTCATAAAAGCATCTATATGAGCCTCAATGATTCCGACACCTGGAAACAAAACACCCACAAATGTATTCAGAGCCACGGTTTCCTGTTGTAATGTGGCAAGACATTTAAAGCATCGGGTCCTCAAACTCCCAATGGATTTTTGGGTGATGGCCTGGCAGCTCCCAGCGGAGCCTGGCTGGCTAATGAAACACCATTAAAGCACCACAACAGCGCCGTACCTGTGGTGACAGTGAGCCTGGCTGCATGAGAGATCTCTCTCCTGGCGGAGTTGGACGCGACACAGCGGTAGGCACCCTCATCCTCCTTTGTCACCTCCAGAATCTGGAGCACACCGTTAAGAAGGGAAATGAACCTGTTTTACGCGGAGAAAAGAGAGTGTAAGAAGGCAAGCGACAGATAAATAAACAGCTAAATAAATTGTTTAGTGCCCGGCAGCATGAATGATACGGCTGATCAGCTTTACATGGACAGTGATGAGACATCACGGGAATCCATCCTTATTTAGGGGGAAACTATTCTGTACAACCGCTACATTGATGGCAATTACTAGTCATGCAACTCAAAACGTGACTTAATTACACAACTAAAAATATTCATGAGTAAAATGTCTATTTGAGCTGCTGATATTCACAACGTCTACTCCAATCTCTTATGGAAGTAACGTTCTTGACTATTTCCCGAAGGCCTCAGGGCTATCGCACAGCGTTTTGTTGCCTTTATCACAACCTAATAATCCCAACAAAATGCGACCCGCGGTGGCCTCTTTAGAAGAAAGGAGAGAGGATGTGATAGAAGGACAGATGGACAATAAAGAGGCAGTGGATAACAAATACCAGGAATGAAAAAAAGATAACGGGAGAAGAGAAATTGCGACAGACATTGATGCAAAGGGGGTGATAGTGGAGAAAAGGGCCCATTAGGGCAAGACCGAACAGAGAGAGGAAGAAGACTGGGATAACGCAGCCATCCCTCGACTCATCTTTGTGAGAGGCCATTAACAGCCCTTGAGGTGGGAGAACCACATCGCAGCCACAAGACCTCACGGGCAGCGAGCTGTTTTGCGGGTCACGCAGGTATACAGCAGCCATTAGCACGTCATTCTGGGCAATAAGGCCGGAAACAAATTCCAAGGCACCCGGAGCCATTAGCGTCACACTTAAATGTCAATATCGTTAAGTGGGCCAGTAAATGGGACTATAAGAGTGAGATGAAAGAGGAGAGATTGTCAGATGTGGGAGCAGGTGTTTTGTTATAACCTCGAGGAGATTCTGGAATACCCTTTTTCTGATAGTGTAACTAATCAGGAATTAAATAACTTCTTGCAAGGGCATGTGATTCTGCAAGCAGTCATCAGTCTTCTGTGCATTGTGTAGAATTGTGTAGTGCATGTGGGTGTGCCGCTCTGGTTGTCTCAGGGTCGGCCCTCTGCAATGCGCTCTAAGGGAAGTTACAGCTGGGTACATCCGAGGTCGCCGTAGGCCGTCGCAGAGGCGCAGGCAAAACACTGTAAGCTCCGCCAGCACTGCTGCGTGCGTCCTCTTAACAGGGTCTCAAAAGTTGGATTATTGTTCTTCAAGAACATCCTTGAATAATTAACACAAGAGATAAATATCAACTCCAATCGGCGACTCTCATCCTATTTGATAAAAGGCTGAAGGAAGCCGGCAAAATGCCAATGAATCGTTGCATCCCCCAACCGCACCACAGATTACATTTATCCAACCATGAACCCAGATGGATAGAATTTGATCCCCTACAAAAAGGCACTGAAGCATAGACAGAGAACGAAATAAAGAGGTATGCAATGAATGCATAACAGGCGTCATCAGCCAACCATCATCCGATGGTACACTCAACTCACAGCTGGGTACTAACCGCGTGAGGCGGATTCAAAAGCACACTTAAAAACTCAAATGTAATCATCAATTAACTTCTCAATGGAACCCTGGTTGTAGCACAAAGGTGATTTAATAATCTAGAATACAATAATCTATATGATGAAAGAATACATCTAGGCCTTTATGAGTGAGTTCCTACATCCACTAACACCTGTGTGGCATTGAAGGGTGAAATGAAAGGATCTATCAAGACTTAGACATAGACTTTTAAAATCTGGAAATCCCATGGCAAAGTATTGTGGTGACATGTTTGTATGTATCAGATATTTTTGCATTGAACAAATATAATACCACGGATTTCTGGTAATCATGCAACAAAAAGGTATCACATACAAATGAAATGAAATTGCAATCCAATCCGATCGTTCTTCCATTGAGATTGTAAGAACATAAGCGGGTTACCTTGTCTCCTCGGGGACAGCCACTGTGTCCTTTTCCCAGGTAATAACAGGTGTGGGTACTCCCTCAATCTGGCACCCAAAGCGAGCCGCTCCCCCAACCGCCACCGTTTGAGGGGACGGCTCCTGGTGTAACTTTGACAGACCTGGGGGCATAGAATGAATAAGGTCAGGGGGAGTGGGTGTGTGTATCTACCAGATCCGACTTGGTGATTACCCATAGGACAGACGCAATAAGTGGCCCATATATGCGGTTTGTTTTTAATAATATGTAGTGTGTGTGTGTCCCGACGGCTCCCCAGAGGACACAGTTGGTTTGGTGTACTGGGTCACTGTGTACTGTGAGTTTTTTCACACGGTTTATTCTCAACAAAATGCTCATTTACGTTCAGAGTTTGTCGATACTAAATAGGGTTTTCAGACCATTTTAGGGATTCAAAATATTGACATTTTATTTAAGACGTGTTTTTTCTTCAACGCTTTTTCAAAAATGGGGATTTAATCAGGCTCGGCTAGATAATTTCTCTCCAGGTGGAATATTGGCTGGGCTCCAATTTTGCCTCAACACGTTCACACACATGGGAAGCTTCCACCTACAGATCAGTGTGAGCACCAGGGGGGGCAGTAGAGGGCCCCGTCTAAGGGGCCTCCAACCTCTGACCCCGACAGACTGCTGGAGAGAAGAACAAAACAGTTTCATATCCCAGCTACTTCGCCTGTAGCTCTGGCTGAGGAGTAGTGTGTGTGTGTGGGGGGGGATCAAAGGACGATGCTGAGAAACAACACTGAGAAGGCAACAAAAAAGCGGGACGATAACAGGAAGAAACTGACAGAAATAGGCTAGAAATACAGCAATGGAAAAAAAATATATATATATTGCATTACCCAATGGAGTGTTAACAAACTAGACCACTTCTTAACAATGTTTTCAGACATTGTTTCTTAACCAAGAATATCAACTATTATTATTTTTATTAATAATAATTGAAGACAAAAGCCAACTGATTGAGACTTTCAATGCTGCAGAAATCTTTCTGTACCCCGCCATGTCTGTGCCTCGATACAATTCTGTCTCGGAGGTCTACGGATAATTTCTTGGACTTCATGGCTTGGTTTATGCTCTGATATGCACTGTCAACTGTGATACCTTATATAGACAGGTGTGTGCCTTTCTCAATCATGTCCAATCAACTGAATTTAGCACAGGTGGACTTTAGCACAGGTGGACTCCAATCAAGTTGTAGAAACATCTCAAGGATGATCAGTGGAAACAGGATGCACCTGAGCTAAATTTTGAGTGTCATGGCAAAGGTCGTGAATACTTATGTACATGTTATGTTTTCGTTCTTTATTTTTAACAGATTTGCAAAAATTAGCAAAAAAAAGTTTTCACTTTGTCAATATGGGTTGTTGTGTGTAGAATGTTGAGGAGAATAAAGAATTTAATCAATTTTGGAATAAGGCTGTAAAAAACAAAATGTGGAAAAAGTGAAGCGCTGTGAATACTTTCCGGATGCACTGTATGTTAAGCCTTATTGGAAATCTACTAAAACATATCAGGGGTCAGCACAGTCATTTGGATAAATCATCTGGGAATCATGCATGTACATAGTTGAAGGCTCATCCATTTAGTACCTTTGCCTGTAAAAAGATGTAAACGAAAGTTAAACATGATTAAATCTGCAATAATTGCAGTTATCGCCCCTGCAACGCAATCGTCCAAAAGATATTTTTTGCACACATCTGCATTCTTATTGTTCTAAAATGTCACTCAGGAATGTTTTGGATTTTATTGACATTGATCATAACAACTTCATATTTTGATTTTGCTGCTGTAAACGTCGCTTTAGTGTAGAATAACAAAGTAATAGTAAAAGTTGCTCCTTTTATATAATGTATAAATTACTAAAGATAACTATTCCTACATGAAGGCCACCATAGTTCTGCAACATGTTTGAAAAGGACGGGGGGACCAGGGGGGTATTTAGTTGGATAAAGAAACTCTTGCTGTTGCTTTAAAAAAAATGATGAACGGGAGGATGAGGGTGGAGCCTCAAACTAGCTCACTTGTTCGGATTTTAGGGTGTTTTCAAACTTACAGCCAATCACACGGACCTCTATTTTTCTGACAACATTTTACTCTGGACCACTGTAAACTTGAGGAGACAAAGGGTGGACTATCCGAGACAACCCTAACCCCTGTGACGCCAACTGTTAGTCATGGCAACAAAACGGCCATCTGTGTCTTCCTGCCGCACTGAGGGAACGCCGCTTTTCAATGAGTGAACGGTAGCAGAAGGCATTTGGTTCGCAGTAAGCTTTGAGGGAGGATTTGATGATTAACTCGTGCCAACTCTTGCCCTTACACGGATAGCTGCCCTCATCTTATCCCGCCGCCTGCCAGAGAGTTCCTAAACAGGATGCCACACACGTGTGTGTGTGTGTGTGTGTGTGTGTGTGTCCTGTGCGCGTCTAAATTGGTTCATCTGTCCCCATCTACTTGACCTCAGTATTTAATCTAGTGGGGGGCCTTGATGCTTGTACATCGACTCCTGGTGATTACACCACCGGATCGCTGTGTGTGTGTGTAAGAGCACTAGTGTTGGGGCGGGATAGTAGGGAGGGGGGGGGTGCATGCGGGTTAGTACGTAAGCGGTAAACCACACCTGATAAGTGAGAGTGCACAAGAGCACATGCAAAGGAGACTGGCAGTGTTTGAAAAAGACACTTTGTCAATGCTGTGATGGAACAATAGCGACTGAGTGGGCTACCAACTCCACTCTGACAAGCATCATCATGTTAGTCCCCCCCCCCTCTAAGAGAGCCCCTCGCAATGAGATCCCACGACAGAACAGCCCGGCACTTTGCAGTTTTATCCAAGGAACACGCCCAACAAAAGGTGACGTATCAAGCCAGAGACCAATACTATATCCTATTGTTTCCTAGCAACAAGGTCTTTCTATGGGCACAGCTCTATGAAAAAGTTTATTAACCATCAATGATGGACACAAAAATCTCCCCATCTCCTTTTTTTTCTTCTGCTCACTCTCATGTATCTTTTTTCCATTGCCTCCCTTGTTTCTGCCCTCGACTTTACCCCAGACTCTCGCTATGTGGATGCCCCACTCTTTGACCCCATAGCTATCAGATTGCAGGGTTTTTACCCTCCCCTTGTGCAAGCCGATCATTTCACCCGGGACCTCCTATGCTACCCAACTTTCAGTCTGACTAACAGTGGGAGAACCCATTGAGCATACCCAACGCCCCAACAGGTATTTGTAATGGCATATAGAATCTATGTGCACTATAATTTTCTATTTACAGTACACTTCCCTAATTAGATGTATAAAGGTGTTCAATTCTATTAGTTTTTGCATCCATGTAGGAACAACAGTGAACGAAAATGACAAAATGAAGCGGATTACAGTAATTCTTAAATCATTTATTATTAGATGTAGAAGTTATTTCTTCTCTTTTTATTAACTTCAAAGGTATTGGCTGCATAAAGTAATAATGTAGCATAAAGATTATATGCAAACCACTAAAACCATATGAGTTAAATAAAAAAAGAAAACAAAACAAGATGCGTGATATATCACTCTCTGTGGCTTGAAATGAAAAGACTTTTTTCATTAAGTCCTTTTCAAAAGAAGCGCAAAAGCACTAATGTGTTAAGCACAAATAACATAGTGTTTGTGTGGAGGAGAGAGCCCACTTTTTATGATTATGGCATCATTTATTTCACTGTAATGGGTTCCAAAAGCTGCTGTAGATTTGAACATTCACCTCAGTGATCTCGTAATGAGAAATGTCAATTGGTCTAATCAACACTTTTTTTTATTTTTTTTATTTCATCATCATTTACCAGTGTATGTGCAAACCGTATGCCACCCGCTGTGTTTGGTAGACAGAAGACTCGGTTAGAGAATGGAATATCTCCATATGGTCACTTTCACCGTGTCTCTCCCTTTGCAGCACATCTCTGCCGAGGGCCACTTACATCACGTACTGCGCCGGGGAAACTGGGGCAGGTGTGTTTCGTAATGTGTTTTCACAGATGTGATCTCTGCTGCTGTCACAGGCGGAGGCGCAGTAGGAAACGAGAATGTCCGTTCAATGTCAATGTTTGAGGCAGTCCGGCCCCGACCCCTCGCTCGCTGGTCACATCTATCTCGAAAGCTCCGGTTCGGTGATTTAATGCAAAAGCCACGCACACGTCCGTGCACGCATGCACAGACGCAAAGTGAAGGTCGTCCTTAATGGTCTCTTCGGTCTCTCCTTTCACCATCTCTGCAAACTCCCTTCAGCCGTTTCCGCCTTTTCACCATTCATCCCACATGCCCCCTCCCGCTCCTTTAGTCCTTATTGTCCCCTAAACAAGGGATCCTCATAAATAGGCATGTGACGGCTGACAAAAGCTGGGCCATCCACAAAGGATACTGTCTCATTTTACACAAAGCTAATGACTAAATAAAGACTACCACTTATGAGTGAGAGAGAAAGAGGAGGCCTCCTTATAGGGGAGATTAGAGAGCCGAAGCATGTCCCTCACACCCATATCTTCCTGTGCATTTATTTCATTTCCTCCTTTTGCTTTGTGTGTTTTTTTTTTACCAGGCCGTAGTTTGAAAGGGAACCTGTTCCCAGGACTCTTGTTAGCGCTGGACCAAAGGATAAGTCTCCTATCTGATGCGGAGGGGAACCAAGTTCATCTCCACCCATGCAAGGAAAATATACCAGTATGAGAAATCCCATTAGCCTCGCCGTGTGTATTTGTTGGCGTGTGTGAATGTTTACCCAACTGAATACTTTAAATGGATGAATGAATAAATCAAATGTTTTGTTTGATAGCATCAGTTCTGCTGCAATCTACCTCCTCTGGCAATTTCAAGCTTTTTGACTGGTTTAGTAATAATGTACAGCTGGAGAATACGATATGATCATATTTTGAGGAGCACCTTCCTATTATAGGTTTCTTCTCTCTAATCCCTTTTTGTTGTTGTCGTGTTGTTGTCGTGCTGTAATCTAACCTCAATTTTCCATTACTTAAAATAAAAATGCCTCTTTAAATTTCTATTTTTTTCTATTTTTTCAAGATTTGTAATTGACTATCATAGGAGCTGCAACCAGGAAATCTCTTTTCTAGCAATTACTAGCTCTAGTAACTAATGTACTATCAGAACTCATAGGTTTCTGTTTGTTAACCAATCAATAAATGTACTAATAGCTTATTCTTCTTCGTACATTATTTTTGTTTTTAAAGCAGCTCTGCCAATGAGAGATAATGTGAAATATCCATCTATTTAACCCTGAACCTTCTACATTTAAGGATTGTAAACTGTACCACGTGCTTGGGTAAAAGGCTGAAGAAACCCAAGACAGATCACCAGTTACAACCCGGACTGACTATTTGGGCAGGCATAAAAAAAAATATTTCTCAATAACCGAAACCAACTGCTGGACTCTCAAAAATGTATCTGCGTGACACCTACTTGCTAGGAGAACATTCACAGTCCGGCTGGTCAGGGCTCCGAGGGCGCTGCCGCTCACGCAGCTGTAGCCCCCCTCCACGCCCCGAGGAGGCCGGCCGTCCTTAGAGGTCGGCAGCAGCAGGAGGGATCCGTTGGCCAAATGCTGCAGGAATTCCCCCCCCTCCAAAGGCAGCGGCTGGCCATCCTTAATCCAGGTGATGTTGAAAGGCGTATCGCTTGCCCCAAGGTTGCAGTCCAGCAACAGGGGCAGACCCGACTCCAACACTACATGGCTGGGCCCGGCCCCGCAGCTCAGCTCCACCGAAACAGGCTTTGCTGTGTGGGACAAAGAAACAAAGGTTTGTTAACCACAATGACAACAACATTTTAAATCACAAAGTGAATGAGACCAACTGAAAGCCAAAAACTACAGGGACCACTGAGCTAATCAAATCTCAAATCTCAAAAGACCGTTTGAGAGAACGTTTTATTTAAAAGACGAGGCATAGTTTGCAGCCCAGGTCTCCTCAGGCCTTTCATTACAGTTTAATAGCACAGACAGCGATGCTGTGAATCTTGACCTTGGAACCACTATACACAACAGAGGATATGAGAGTGCGCAAAGGGATAAAAAGAAATCTGATGAACAAGTTGGTGAAAGGCCCTTCAGAAAAAAAAGTTATGGGTAGAATGAGTGATGTGTGATCATGTTCTGGGTAAGCTGGAGGCGTGAGAGGAATGTTTTACTTAATAGATCAGAAATACAGAGAAATAAACAGAAATGCATGTTACAGTAGACGATGGAATAAAATGAGACTGAATTTTAACCGTAATTGGAGAAACTGAGATTTCTTTCGTCTTCTTTCTACAAAAAGAAGGGGAAAATATTTCTCTGTACACCTCTGCAGGAACCTCCTCATCGCTCTGTAAACACAATCACAGCCAAACCACGAATCGCACGTTGCCCCTTAACTCTGTTTTGTCGATCCAATTTTTCACACATCTGCGTGTTTTGTCATTTCTGGCTATTGTTCTGTACTTTTTCAATTTAAGGTTTGGCAGTTTGCCATTTTTATAGCATGACTTCAATAGTGTCGCCAGCACAGATGGATGTGGTGCCTTCCAGAGGAGGGGGTGTTTTGGGGACTGAGAAGAGGCCAGACTCACAGGAGGAAGAGGAGGAGGAGGAGGAACTGTGGGACTGGTTGCAGTGGTGTTGAAGGTACATGTATGTCAGCACATGACATTAAGGACTGAGAGCGAGGGGCCGTCCCGGAGCGACAGGTTGATGAGCCGGTGTGATGTGAGCAGAGTGCTTCACAAACTGCCCTCAAAGGAGATGTTGTTGTTTGACCACAGCACCGTAACCCTGATAAAAACTTGTTTTTCCGTGTTTTTCCTTTTGCTATATATTTTTTTAACCTTCAGTTCTTTGAAGAACAAGATGACAGATCTGGGATGAAGAAAAGAGTGGGTGAAAAGAATAAAAAATATCAAGAGGGAATTGGCAATGGAAGATAAAAAAAAAGAACTGAAACTTCAAAAACTTGACTGACGGGTCAGTAGTTAATTATAGATGAAAAGGCTGGTTGGCATTAGAAGAAGAAGGTGAAGCCATGAAAAGAACCTGATCACAAACATCGCTCCCCTTGAAACGCAGCTCTATATTGACGTTTCGAATGCACGGCTTTCAGACCGTCGCCTCTTTCTGTTGGGAACCAGCAAAATCGGACGGGGGGGGGTGGAGGGGGTTCATACCTCAATGACTTGGTTGATTTAAAAGCAGCTTGTGAGCCCAAACAGGGTGGGTTGTTGTTTACGTCCGCCTACTGCCCGGTGCCGTAAAGCTGCCAAATATTATAAACTATTATGTCACATCAAATATTTTTTCCATGACCCATTTGTCCACGTGCAAGTAATACAATTTGAGGATCCCTTCTACATTCAATTCGACAAACCTCTTCTTGAATCCAAGTTAGAAACTCAGTTTTATTACTTACATGTACATTACACATACACACACGCACACACACGCACACACACACACACACAGAGGAAGGTTGCGTTCAGCTTTCTCCAGCATTGGATTAATTAAGTTAATGGGAGAAGGATTTTTTTTCCCCTTGATTAAATGAGGCTTGACCGGGGGTTCACTTCCTGATGAAGCGCATGGGTAACGCTGAGAAAGACACACACACACACACACGCCGTGGAGACAAGAAAACATAAATATGCTTTATACACACGTGCAGCCAAAATCCATACACATAGAGACACGTGAGGAACACTAAAACACAATCTCATAGGAGCACAAAGATTACTCTGCCAGCATGCCGACACACACACACACACACACACACACACACACACACACACACACACACACAGAGATCGGCCCCGCAGCTCCTCTCTTCCTCACTCCCATTTCAGCTAATTAGGTCTCATTAAGTCATTAAAACATTAAGAGACATTTCCCAGCTTACTGCCGGTGGTTTCACTTGGCGAGACGCGGGCACCGCTCAGCGCTGAAAGCCAGAACGTCTCACCTTTTCAATCAGTGTAGATGTGTGACAAGGAACGTGCAAATAGAAAACAACAGGAAAAGCACTCACTTAAGACTAAGATAAGATGAAAAATGAAAAAGGCGAGGTATGTTATGCACGTCCTGGTTCATCTCGGGATAAAAACACTTGATACTGAGACACACATTCGGCGCACAAAGCTTGACGTGCCCTAGATGTGTGGGAAACACACATATCCACACCCTGATATGTACCCACACGCCTAGCACAGCACACACACACACACACACAAACGTGCACGCCCACAGAGTAACTGCCAATGTCTCATAAGGACACATTGTGGCGGGTGTGAAGTAGCCATTTTACCGTGAAAGCGGGAGCTGCTGTGGAGGGCAGGGTGGACTCTGGGATGTAGGAACAGCTGTGCGGTTTCACTGAGCTCTAGCGAATGGATTGTGATGGCACTGAGCCCGAGCGGCTCATCGCTTCCTCTAAGTAGACAGAGGACGGTGGTTTACAAGAAGGAGAGGATGAAACTAAGCACGACGGACGAAGCGGGGGACAAACACGCCGAGGGAGCATCTTGCGACGGAATCACAGGAGTCACAACGCCGAGTCGCTTCTGCTGCAGAAGTTCTCTCCAGGATCTGACTCACACAACCGAGACCAGCGGTACACACACACACACACTTTTGCGCCTGTCGCCAATCAAACATTTTTGACACACCAGTTTAGTCGCCTTTAATTGAATTGAATGAAAAGGTGTGTGCAAACTGTTTGACTGGTACTGTGCAAAAAATGAGGGCGAGAGAGAGAGCGACAAAAGAAACAGACACTGGTCCATTGCTGTTAATGGATCTGCTTTTCACAACTGGTTTGGGGAGGAGAAGGACGAAGAGGTAGAAGTAGTAGTGGAAGGCAAGAGATCCAACGCAGTGAATATATTTAAACCGTCCCTGCTCACTGTCAACGGGCGCAGTTGAGGTTTCTAAAGCCTCTGAGGTGAACCTAAGCCTTACCTCGGGCCTTTCGAGGACTACAGATAAGCAAACAAAGGCTTCGATGTAAGCGTCTAGAGCAGTGCTTCATGTAGTCATTACTTCGCTTTAGAGAAATATTCTAGTTCTGGGCTTGTTATCATTATATTACTGGGAGTCACAATATCTTGATATATGATTTAATTGAAAGACGATGCATCAAATTGAATGGGTCTGGTTTCTACAGAAGCCCAGATACACACCGCCTCTATAAAGCCATTCGCTTGTTGTTTGATCTGAAGATAGGGATAAGATCCGAAAGCATTAAATGGGCCCGTAGCTAAATCACCGTAGATATTAATAAGTTATTATTAGTACTTAATGTGTTGATGTAATTCATGCTCTTTGTGTTTGGGCTGAGCTCCTCACACATAGTGTGCAGTGTGAGGTGAAGGGAACCAGGTGAAGAACACAACCAGAGGATGCCACTAAATCTTACATTTGATAGATCATCAAACAGCCATTAACTATTTAGAAGATACAATGCAGTATAATCTATCTGAAGTGAGCCACTCACCATGTGTTGTAATCTGTGCTTGGTTTACAAAGTGGGGCATGTACTGCATGCGTGTGCTTGTAAGCCCGCTTGCTCATTTTCACACTTTTAGTGCTGCTCTCCTTCTATTCTAGCTTTCAGCAGTCAACACATTGACAGCTTTGTGCCTTTTTCAGGAACACCAAAGGTATTCAAATTCACTCTGAATTCAGTCCAAGTCTCAGCCACATTGGTGGAAACAATCAACAGCCCGACGCTTCAGGCTGAAAAACGGGCACGAGGAAGCCTGGTGCAGTCTAGCATGAACAATTACCAGGTAGGCCTAAAGGTGTCAAAGAATGGATATGGAAATAAATGGTACTAGAAACATGAAGTAATCCAGAGAATTAAAGAATGTAGTACGGGACTGAACAGTTCAGATATGAGGAGAATGGACAGACAGCGGGCGGGAGGAACGTCGTCTCCCTCCCGTTAGATTGGCCCAGCAGCAGTAGATGATCTCATTGTAGACCTGAGTTGTTCCTAAACGATGTAGCGATGTATTGTACATGTCACACGGTGTTGTAGGACATCCCAACGCCCTGAAACCTCAATACAGGCTGAGTGGACCGAGACAGTGGTTTGATTGCTCGGTCTACGGCGGGGAAGCTCCAATGTGTGTTCCCTTACATTGATAGCAACAAGATAAAAAAAAGGATAGCACTTACACATGCTTGTGGCCGAGATCTATTCTATGAGGCTTAATCAATATTTTGAAGCCACAATATTTTGCAGCCAAGTAGCAACAAACCCTCGGGGGGACCCAGATGTACAACCAAGGCGCCTGACTACTAACAAAATCATTAGGATTTGATCAGGTGGGCTTCATCTGTTATACATCCATACCCATATTATCCATATAGGTAAATGTGCAAAGAGTGGGAAGCCTGCTACCCAATCAACCCCGCTAAGGGTCTTAAATTGCTGTGATGGCAAATAAAACTATTTGTTTACTCTGAATGCCATGGTTTACTCTCGAGCCATGGTTTATACACAACATCTCACTGAATCTACAGTGAGGCTCAGCTCCCTTGGCGACCTGAACAGCTGCCGTGTCAGGTGTTAACCGGTTGCGCCGTGTTTCCTCCCATGACGATACGGCAGGGTTCTTCTCCCACCCGGGTCTTCTTAACCACAAACACACTGACTCTCCCTGTCAGGAAGCTGATTCAATAAATCAAGGGTTTTACTCTTGACTTGGTGCATTGCAGAGTTGACTTCTATTATTGTTGTGCCTTTTTC